TGTGTACCCACCAGACCTGCTCCTTTACCTAAGAGAAAACTATTCACAAAAGGCTTGACTAAACAAATATGTTTTCAGCCTAGACTTAAATACTGAGACTGTGTCTGAGCCCCGAACACTAACTGGAAGGCTGTTCCATAACTGTGGGGCTTTGTAAGACAAGGTCTACCTCTTGCTGTAGCCTTCGCTATTCGAGGTACCAACAAATAGCCTGCACCTTTTGATTGAAGTAGGCATGGCGGATCATAAAAGACCAAAAGTTCACTCAGGCACTGTGGTGCGAGACCATTCAGTGCTTTATAGGTCAATAGTAGTATTTTATAATCAATATGAAATTTGATTGAGAGCCAATGCAATGTGGATAAGATAGGGGTGATGTGGTCATATCATAATGGTGGCTGATACATTTCATGAATGTTATTCCTATGCAGGTATGAGCAGGTATGAGCAAAATTTTCTAGGATCTTGGAGATAAAGGGGAGGTTTGATATTGGCCTATAGTTAGACAGCTGACAGGGGTCGAGGTTAGGTTTTTTTTAATCGGGGGTTTGATGACTGCTAGTTTAAACAATTTTGGTACATGTCCAGTGCTAAAGGAAGAACTGATTATCTTTAGAAGAGGTTTGATTGATTCTGGAATTATATGTTTGAAGAAACATGTAGGTAAGGGATCTAGTATACAGGTTGATGATTTTCATGATGAAATTATTGAAATTAGTTCAGTCTCTCTAAGGGGAGTAAAACATTCTAATCGTTGATCTGATATCATTATATTATCTAAAGGGTTAGTTATAAAACTCTTAAAATTAATAGTCTGAATTTTGTGCCTGATATTTTCAATTTTACCATCGAAAAAATTCATGAAGTCATCACTGCTATATAATGTTTGTGTGCATGTTCCTATTGTGGTCATATTTGTAGTCAATTTTGCTACAGTATTACATAAGAATCTAGGATGCAGCGCTTTTAGAAAGAGCTTTTCTATAGCTCAAAAGGCTCTCCTTCCATGCTATTTGAAATACTACCAATTTACTACGTTCTAGTTTTTGAGTGGTCTGTTTTAAGGTGCATGTGTGATTGTTATACCAGGGTGCTATCTTTTTCTCTCTAATTATTTTTCTTTTAAGTGGAGCTACCTTATCTAGCGTGTAGCAGAACGTTGATTCTAAGCATTCAGTTGCCTGGTCAAGTTCTTCGGGATCAGACGGTGATCCAATCATGGCTGGTAACTCTGGGAGATTACTGATAAAACTCTGTGCAGTTGCTGACGTGAATGTACGGAAGGATGGCAAGGAGCATATATTATGATTAAGATACATTTTAATTGAGATGAGATAATGATTTAAGATAGCTTCAGACTGCAGAAATGTGACTATATTTTCTATATTTAAACCGAATGTTGATTTATTACTAAGAGTGTGACCACCACTATGAGTGGGAACTTTTACATTCTGATTAACCTCTGCTGAATCAAGAACGGACAGAACCGCTGTTCTCAGAGGGTCTTCTGGATTATCGAAATGAATATTAGAGTCTCCAACAATTAATGCTTTGTCTACAGAAAAAACCAGGTTAGAGATGAAATCCGCAAATTCACAAAGGAATTCAGAATATGGCCCTGGGGTTCTGTAAATAATAGTTAACTGAATGGTCTGGTCAGACTCATTTTTTGTGGCTACATATGTTATGTTAGTATAAAGAACTTCAAACTGTTTGCATTTATGACTAGGTTTTTGTGTGACATCTAGATTATCATTATAAATAACTGTGACGCCTCCTCTGCCAGTTAGACGGGGCTGATGTATATAACTGTATCCAGGAGGACTAGCTTAATTTAATGCTACATACTCATTTGGTTTAATCCACGTTTCTATTAAATATAGTACATTAAATTCCTGATCAGTAATAGTTTCATTAACAATAAGCGCTTTAGATGTAAGAGATCTAGTATTCAACAGTCCTAGCTTCAAATCAATGGTGCTGGTTGTGCATTCGATTTGATTTAATTTTATGTTAATTAGATTACTAAAACAAACTTTCTGGGTATTTCTACATTTTTGTTTAGCTCAGGGAACAGACACAGTCTCAATAACTGTGGAACCTGAGTGACGACTCAGTGCAGCTAACAGACTGTAGAGTTAGTCTGCTCCCTGGCCTTGGCTCTGGATTGTCACTGATTAACTAGACCTGTTCTGAGACTATGCGCAATGCTACAAGAAATGAGAGGTGCTCCTTCCCGAGTTGGATGTATACTGTCCCACCCTAACAGGCTAGCCTTGCCCTCTAAACTACTCCAATTATCTATAAAGCCCATATTGTTTTTGGAGCACCACCTGGATATCCAGGGGTTCAGCGAATGTGCTGTAAGCTACATCGCCATGCCGCATTGGGATGGGGCCAGAGCATACTACTGCATCAGACATCACCTTCTCTAATTTACACATCTCTACAATGTTACTCTTAATAACCTCAGACTAACAAAGGCATATATCATTAGCTCCTACATGAATAACTATCTTTGAGAACCTGTGCTTGCCTAAGACCCTAAGATTACCTGCTATGTCTGGCACTCTGGCTCCCGGTGGTACCCCTAAAGGCCTAGTTAATTTCATGTGCCACAAGATGGAGTCTCCTATTACCAGAGCTCTTTCAGGTTTCTCAGCGGGTGCTTCACTGAAGAGAGCAAACCTGTTAGACACGTGAAGCAGAGAGGAGTGGTGCTCCTGTGGGCGAGCCTTAGCTTTGGCTTTGCGATTATGCCGCCATCACCCATTTGCCCCGCTGTGAGGGCTCTAATGCCAGAGTTGGGGGATTACTAACTCCGCCTAAGGCATCCAGACTTTCCCCTACAGAATCTACATTAAAAAAATAAGAAAATCATAATTTCAAATTCAGCTCATGTGGACACTACTGATACATTTTATGACTTCTTAAAATACAAATTAAAATTTGGCATGCTGCTGAGAATCAGTTGATGGGCTATTTCATGAAAGTTTATAAATAACCTGATTATCCAATGTTGCTAACACTACTGTAGTAATAGTTTTGGCCTAGAAAGTGGAATTTTATGTGGCTAACACAGATGAGCACAGTGATATACGTACACAGACTAATCAAGGGCAAATTGGGAACAGGTGAGATTGATCATGACACTTGAGCGGAAACATCCAATAACAATACGGTGCGGAGACAGGACAGAAACCAAAACAAAAACACAAATGGCAACACAGACATAACCCCGGAAGCGCTGTGGGTTGCTTAAGCATGCTCTTGGAACGCCACTTGACCAATCAAATTAGTGGACCAGAACTGTTGTATAATGTTTTTTAAAAAAATAATATTCTCCAGTTAATAGCACTTAGTTTATGTTTATATTAGTTTAGTTTAATTTATTTTGATTAAATCATTCATTCATCATCAGTACACTGCACATTTTACAGTGTGAAACAATGCTGATTTTTCAGAGTTAAATATTTAGTGTTGAAAAGTCAAATTTGAAAAGATTCTGTAGTTGTTTTTACACCCAGCATGATAATAAAACTCAGAGCTTGGTTTCTGTAACATTTCTGTTAACCATGACCATTGCTAACTAAGAATATTAGTGGACAACTGTCCTTTTTTATACCAGTGATCTAATTAGCATGCCCCTTATTTAGTCATAGCAAATTTGTAAAAAAGCAATTTAACATTTTAGTAGTCTTCTTGGTCCTGTATAATATAGTTTTAGTTAGGTAGCTAGTGCTACTATTAGTCGGTGTTCAAATATTAGTTCGATCTATGAGCTAAAAAGGCCATCTGAGAGCTCAGACTTGCTGTGTTCACATTCATTTTTTGATCTTTTTGTTAACCAATAAAGAGAAAGATATCATTGTTTAATATACTGTACTATGAATTTATCTTGCCTCATTTGATTTATATGAAGCTGTTTAATGAAGCTAGCCCTCATTGTGGTATTTGAAGTCAAGTGAAGTGTCTTGTGGCCAAATATGGTGACCCATACTCAGAATTTGTGCTCTGCATTTAACCCATCCAAGTGCGCGCGCGCACGCATGCACACACACACCCGGAGCAGTAGGCAGCCTTTTTTTTTTGCTGCTGCAGAGCAGTTGGGGGTTCGGTGCCTTGCTCAAGGGTCTCACCTCAGTCGTGGTATTGAGGGTGGAAGAGAGCGCTGGACTAGACTCGAACCCACGACCTTCAGGTTCACCTTCGGGTTACAAGTCTGACGCTCTAACCACGACTGCCCCTGCTTGAATGAACAAGCTAGCAAAAAAGAGAGCTAGCCAAGGTAAATTAATGTTATTTAACGATAGTCCATTTTTATATGACGCTTGTGGTTCATTGACTTTTGTAGGATTAAATCGCATTTAAATTGAGCTCTGCAAGGAAGGCCACCCTGTGGGCATTGGGTTGGAGCAGAACTTGGAAGGCCACACCATTGGCCTCAAGCAGGAGCATGGCATTGGAGGCTGCGCCTTCGGCCTCTAGCAGTAGCTAGACTTGGAAGGCTGTGACGTCGACCTCTGGCATGTACAGGACTTGGGAGACCATGCCGTTTTGAAGGGGAGGAAAGAGATTTGCCTGGGAAAGCTGACAGTTTGAAACATTATGGACCCTATGACTTGCAAAATGCCTATGCTGATGGTCATTAAATTGTACCTTTGTATTACTTGCTCTACAGTACCCATGTCTGTTAAGTAAAAGGAATACCTTTTCTCAGTATTGGATGATTTTATTACTGCTTTCTTAAATTGTGTAATTTGTTGTGAAGGTATAAATCAACCATAGTAAATAATAAAAAACAGTGTAATTGCCTCCAGTGAAGAGAATCAATAATAATTCAGATACTCAGCAATTAGCACTATGTAAACAAGTCACTCCAGTTGTTGTTTCAGCTACTCCCGATAGGGGTCGCCACAGTGGGTCACTGGTTCACATGTTTGATTTGGCATTAGGTTTTATGATGGATGCCCACAGTACACTCCCAGTTGCTGAGTTGGTTCTCTGCCTGGGAATCGAACCCGGGCAGCTGCAGTGAGAGCATAGGATCCTTAGCTGCTAGACCATCAGGGATTCAAACAAGTCACTCCAGTGCAGTGAGAAAATGAACTCCAGAGCAGTGAGAATTTAACACAAGTGCAGTGAGAAATTAACAGTATTCACTGTTTGGTGTAAAAGTGCAGCAATTACGTGGTGTGAAAACAACACTGACGGTGTTAAAATTTCAACACTGGAAGTAGTGTAAGATACCAACACTCAGTAAAGTGTAAAAGTAACTTAATTTAGTGTGGACCTACAGTATATGCACACTGAGAAAGTATTGAATTTAACACTCACAGTGTTTATTATCACACTGGCAAATTTGCTGTGCAACCACTTTAACATGGACAGGGTCACTGTGGATCTGGACCCTCTTCAGGGAATACTGGGTGTGAGGCAGGAATACTCACTGGATTTGACACCAGTACAACAGAAACAGAAACAGTACACCCTACAGGAAACACACGCAAACACAGAGAAAACATGTGAAACTCAACCCAGATATTAACCTGAGCTCAGCGTCAAACTCGGGACCTAGAGTTGTGATGTGGCCACCCGCTGCTCCACCATGCTGCCCAGTTTAAGTTAATTAATGTTGATTAATTTTTAATTTATTCTGTTTGTTCAACCAGGTAAATAAAGAATTATGCAACAGTGATCTTGGTCTGATCCTTGTGTGCTTATGTGGTAATGACCTCTGAATATACTGTAATTCACATCTTCCTTTGCAGAGGGGATATTTCTACAGAAAGAATACAACAACTGCATGTGCATAACACACAGGCTGGCATGTAGACATATACTAATTATCACTGCCCATACCCACAAGGGGATTGGAGTAATCAATTTCTTGTCTCTTGATTATAGAGATGGTAAACATTTAGCATTAGAGTGAGCATTGCAAATTTATTCATAATTTTGGTGACATCTCATGATGTGATATGATTCTTTTTTTAAATCAGTAAACTTTATTATAATTGGTCACTTATCCTTTTTACTGCTAGGAGACACATAAGGCTTCCCTCATGTGATTTGCATCTCCACATTCAATAACAAGAACTGACTCAAACACAGGATCCAATATGGGACAAATAGAGCCCAATGTCAATGGTGTTGACAGGGGTACCCCTGCCACCAACAAGTCTTATCCTTCTTGTCACTAATTTGTATGCCTGAAATACCCTTAAGTTCATACCCATATAGTTCAACCAGGAAGGAAGCTGTTGAACCTATTTAAGATATTTGACCTTACTGTGACCTTGACTGGGTCAACTGCAAACTTAGTTCATCTGTTGGTTACAATGGTAATTCCAAAAACATCCTACAAACATTCAACCAATGATTCTTGAGATACCACACTAATGTGAATCTAATGTGAAGGGCAGACAGACGCATGGATGACTTGAAACATAATGGTGGCCACCTAGTGGCAGAGGCATAAAATGTGCTTAAACATCTCGTCGGCTGCAGTGAAATTACTGATGAAAAGGCCTTCTGATTAAATCATTTATAATTATGTTAAATTGCAATAATTTTCTATAAACATAAGGACAATATCCATTTGTGTGATTAAATTAAAACAACGTTGTAGAATGTTATTAAAGCACTAAAAAACATTGTAAGCCACATCTTATATCATCAGAAACTTTTGATGTTAAAATACTATTGGTACATTTGTATAGAAATAAAGATTTTGTGCATGTTATGAATGCTGCTTTTGACAGCACAAAGAGGTCCAACTACTCACACTATTCTATGAGGGTTTATTTCTCTGCATTTTTACTCTTTGTTTTTCTGTGTCAATGGTGTTGCACATTGTGTGATGCAGTATATGTAACAACCATCATCAAGCAGTGCTGCTAGCCCCACCCCCAATTACTATTGCTGTAGGGGAGGCATCAAAACCAATCAGCTGGAACCTTGGGTACAGGACCAACAGCAAATGAGGGTTTGAGCCAAACATGTACCTTGTGTAGTGATAGAGTATTATGTTTGTGTGTGTTGTGACTCACCATGGGCATCACGATAGTAGGCATGTGTAACACTGCGAAAGCGCTCCTGTCCTGCAGTATCCCAGATCTGAAGAGATAAGAGAAAAATATAGTAAGATGAGAAAATGTTTATATTTTTCCATTGTTAAACTCCTCCCTGCTGCTGGGCCACACTCCTGCATTATGCTCTGCTAATGATGCTCTTGCATTTGTCTCAGCTGCCAAGTTTCTGATTCTAGGAGGCTGACTAGCCAAGCCATATGCACATTCTGTTCCTGCCATGACAACATGGTGAAGGACCATGCCTTTTCCTTCTTACTGACTGTCCATCATCCAACTCCACAGGGGCCTGACAGAACAACTTGCTATCCTCTCCTGAATTTATAATTATGAAATTAATTAATCTTTCTTCCAGAGCTTACATGCTATGACATGCCAATAAAACAATAGGCCACATGTCTGTTCTAAGGTTACATTCATCTGTGGGGAGAATAGTAATTCTGTAAGTCAAAAATTCACCATCAATCATGATGTATGATGGTGCAGATTTAACAATAAGGATGGCAAATAACAAAAGTTTGGAATGCGATACTTGTCCTCAACTCCTCAACTCCCATATCCTCAACTCCCATATCCTCAACTCCTCTGCAAGACAAGAATTGGAAAGAGGACAAGCTTTATGTAATTGGGGTCTTTTATGGGGACCTTGTGGGGTCATAGTCACAAGGTGATGTATTTGCTATTGATACTTGGCAAGTAAATTAGCAAAGGGGAATACTCCACTAGTTCAGAAATCAATTGCCCTGGTGGTCTAGAATGAAAAGAAGTACAACTTATCTTTGGAGTACATTATTTGTTCTATCACTGTAATTGATGTGGTACCTGTTTGGTTTGAACCGCATACTAGTGTAACAGGGTAATTTGTTGTTATATAAATTATTTTTTCAAACTGGTATGAATTATCATAGTGGTTAAATGTAAACTGTGCTCAGGACAATGTTTTCCTTGAGGGGTGTTTTGTCTTTTGTCTTTTTTTTCTCTGGTGCTAATCGTGTGAAGTACAAGGAAGCATTTGAGCCATGGAGGATAAGTAATAGTTTCATGCTTTTGTTCTTATGAGATTTAAATTTTATGTGGTCATCAAATTGAAAGAGGACCAGTTTCTCTTACTTGTTTATTGGGAGCTAGTTAAGTTCTCTGCATACTCCACTGAGGTTTATTTCTGTAAAGCTGCTTTGTGACAATGTCCATTGTTAAAAGCGCTATACAAATAAAATTGAAATGAAATGAAATGAAATTAAAGGTCTTGTTTGTGTACATCTGTTAAACAAAGGCTTTTCAAATGTCAAAATGTTTATTTATTTGGACGTTTATTCCAATATGACTGACGCTAGAGTTTGATTACTAGTAGCACATGTACTATTTATCTTCCTTTTGTTTTTCTCAACTATTTTGGGAGGAATTTTGTGTTGAACTGTTGTTGTCAGTGGGCTTGTTAGATTTCATTGACAGATTTTAATTTCCAAGACCTGAGCAGAAACATGAAGATAAAGCAAAACATTTGCTGTGCAATATAATGCCTGTCTCTGTCCTTTGCGCCATTTGTTTTGTTGCAGAAACCCTCAGAGACCATCTAAGAATTTGCTCTTCAATTCACTGAGTTCTTTCATTGTTAGAAGACCCAGACAGCATCTGCATCTACACTGACCACCTGATGAGAGTAGAATTTGTGGATGGCTTGGAATTTGTGGATGGCAACATGTCATATGACATGAGCTATGAATTCTAATTTTTCAACATCCTTTCTGCATTTTGCACAAATAAAAGGGGCAAATAACTGAGTAGATTATATAGTGACATGGGCCCTCAGTTGCTTTGCCTTGGCTGAGTCACTCTTACTGTGCGAAAACCCATTGTCCTACAACTAAATAAAGAACTGATGGAGAAAATGGCAGTTGAGATGGGTAATTGGCTGGTGGCTTTTACCAGCGAGAACTGGAGCATGAGCTAAATGTTGATCCTTCAGCCAACTGTGGCTGCTAGAACTCTACCAAATGCAGTCGGGCAGCACATGGGGTTGCCAGCCTCTAATACAGCCCAATGGCCACTGAATTATTCTGATGGCCAATCTGCAGGCATTGCTTAGAACCTGGCTATATTGAGTGACTCTGCAAGCAGTAGGTGAGATCTGGCTCCACTGATCTGTATCCCATACTTCAATTTGATGGGCCCTACTACTTACACAGCAGGTAGTAAAAAGGGGTACTTGGTGACCTGATAGCCAAGGCTGATCTGGTGGGTGATAGCTGAGTTATCACTGTGGCCACTACTGGGAATGAAGTAGCCTGCCTCCTAGGCCACTATGCCAAGAGAAAGGACCTTTAATAGGTTGTTTAGGGAATTCATGATTCATTAGCATGGTTAACACTGGTTGCTGGAAATGGGCTGAAGATCTCCTTTGTTGGTTGTTTGGAGGAATAGGTATATATTCCTTGTGTGCATCTAAATATATATATATATATATATATATATATATATATATATATATATATATATATATATATATATATATATAATAGAACTGTACTGACTGGAATGTAGCTATGTACCATCAAACACCTGGGTGAGTTACAATAATGACAAACCCTGGTTCACGGCCAGACTCATACAGCTAAGGCTGGCGAAGGAAGTTGCGTTTAAGGGTGGGGACAGAACCAGTTTTAAAGTGGCAAAGTACAAGTTTAGAAAGGCAGTGAGAGAAGCTAAACAGTTGTACTCTGAAAAACAACAACAGCAGTTCTCAACCAATGACCCTGCTTCTGTCTGGAAAGGGCTCAGACAGATCACAAACTGCAAACCTAAAGCCCCCCACTCTGCTAACAACCTGCGTCTAGCCAACAGCCTGAACAAGTTCTACTGTCGCTTTGAAAGACAATGGGACAGACCTGTCACCATCCTCCGTGACACCAGCCATCAACTCCAGCTTCAGTCCATCAGCTTCACCACCCCCACCACAGCAGGGGCTGGGGCCTCTCCACAGAT